CTGGATACATACCTCTGCCAGCTGTTTGTTTCACAACAAGCATCATCTGATGGAGGCACTGGTGTACACAAAAATAACTCATCCACATAAGTAGGAGATTCTTGGGCTAATATGAAAATTCTCCCCGGGTACATCAGTGTGTGCATAGCACCCTCGTCTCAAATCTGCCGAATGCAAAGTGGGGGAGAAGGAAGGCTTGGCTGGCAACAGAATGGTGTGGATTTATTCCCCTTCTGAGTTCATGAGTGGTGCTTGTCTGAACACTCCCCTGAAGAGCTGATAGGGAACAGCAAGCATTAGCTAGCACCATTAGGAAAAGCCAACCTCGATGATATGGGACACCTTATACGTATCTTATCCCCTAACCCTTTGTACTTGAAAGAAACTGTGGGTGACGCAGTCCTTGCCCAAGCCATTTTGCTGTCTGAGGTAAAGAAGGCAATGTCGCTACTTCCCCTGTTCACCTCTGCCTCAGAACATAGTAGCTTAAAGCTAGACAATGTGTTTTGATACATGAGGTTTCTTTTTCTTTCTTTCTTTCTTTCTTTCTTTCTTTCTTTCTTTCTTTCTTTCTTTCTTTCTTTCTTTCAAATCTCATATTACAGTACTTTATTGTCCTGGCAGCAAAATATTGTAAGAATAAATCGAATAACTGTCCATTTACTTTTCTTTCATGACAAACAAAATTATTTTTGCCATTGTGGCTGCCCCACTCTGCCTGATAGTAGGGTTGGCCCTAGATAGTTTGAAATGAGAGCAGTAGTTTTGCTTTGGCTATTTTTAACACCTTTCAGGAGGGGGAAAGACTTAGACTGAGGAAATGGTGGAGGGGAACCGCTAATTACCTTTTCCCTGGACCATCCTAACTCTGATCAAAGTATGAGACTCCAACAGCTCTTTGTTAAGAAGAGCAAACATGCGGGATGGTCAGATCATGGAATTTCCTGCACAATTTGTAGTTTTGTCACAAGAAAGAGATAGAACTGTAAACCTGGTTAAAATCCCACCTCAGGCATGAAATCAGAAAAGCGGCCACAAGCAAATCACCTACCCATTCTCAACTTCAACATGGAGATAATAATACCGATTTTCTTTGGAGCAGTGCTCCAGAAACTTGTGCCTTTCAAATGACTATGAGTCCCATCATCTGTGTAAGCTGGGACTACGGGGTTATTATGTTCCAACTCCTCCCAAGGACGCCTGGTTGAGAGATAAAACTATAGAAGACTGTAGTAATCATTGCTAAGACAAAACGGTGACCTTGATGAAAATGCTACCTGAAGAGAAAACACCAAAAGACAGTATAATTAGAAACGGCAGACAAGGGTGTATGCAGAGCAAAGGAAATGGAAATCCATGGAAGGAGCATCAGAGGCACTCCTGTTGGGACATTTACCATCTCTAGGGCAGCCCTGCCAGAATCCTGATCTAGCAGTGATGTCCAAGTTACACCTTTCTGCATAGACATCACTACAGTATTTGGACACTGGTGAGCCTGCACCATGTTAAAAACAGCCTTTCTTTATATTAACAGATGTATGATTTTCTTCAAAGCATGGTGGCTTAATTTACAGAGACACAGAACGAACACCCTTGGCTCTCAAATACATAAGAGATGAAGTTCAAGTGAACAACACACTTCTCTCTCTCTCTCTCTCTCTCTCTCTGTGTGTGTGTGTGTGTGTCTGTCTGTCTGTCTGTCTGTGTGTGTGTATACACACACACACACACACACACACACACACACACACACACATATACATGCATATATATTGCCTATATATATATGCAATAATTTTGACTTGTAGCATAATTTTCCCTCATAAACCTATGAGCCCCAGGAGGTCCTGTGTATTTGCTTCTAAGGAGGGATCTGCTTGATGCAACAGCACCATCCATCATGTCAGCAACCAACTCCCCTCCCGAGACAGGATTGGTTAGTTAGCCTGCCCTTTCCTGTCTAATGTGCTGCCAGTGCAAAGCAGGATGGGAGCTGTGCAGAGAGACAGAAAGCAGCTCAAAATAGGCTGGTGGCAGAGTGACATGAGGCGCAACAAGAAACTAGGGCCGGTGAACTGGGAATTACAGAAGCAGTTGAGGATCTATGGATATATTCTTATTTATAGAGCAGGATGCACCCTACTCTACATGAACTATAGGTTTTGACTTAGATCTTCAGTATCTTTCCTGTTCAAGAATTATGTAACTGTGATAATTTGAAGCTCTTTTCCTCATTCTTCTTACGGCACAACATGCACTCAGTTGGATACCTCAACTATACTATTGGTTTAACCTATTTCCTTAGGAAAGTAGAAAATGAGGACATTCACGGGGTGCTAACAATGACAGAGCACTTGCATATCAACCAATATCCTCAGTTCAGAAGGATGTGTGAATAAGATGGCGGGGGGGAAGGAGCAATAGCTTTCTACAATAAACAGCTGTACTCTGGCTCCACTTGGTAGTGATTACAACAAGACTCCATTATTTTATGCATACTTCCTTCTTGTGTGACTTCTTTTGTGGCTAAGCAACAGAAGACACAGGAGAGAGAAAGAGGGAGTTGGCAAATTCACATGTTATTCAACAGAACACTGCGCAGGGGGACTCCGCCACTTCTGTTTCTCAAGAAGCAACAGCTGGGTGGTTTGAATGATTTTGCTAAATTCGTCACGTTGATTTTGTTTCAGTGCCATGCTTAATTTTATTTTGCTGTGGGTTATATATCAGAATATCTAATGCCTTCAGACTGAAAATTATAGCAATGTGACTAACACCCCAATCCTCAACACATTTACCTCAAAGCATTGATTTCAATGGGATTTAGCACCATTGAAATGTTTTTCAGGCTTTTCAGAAAATCAAGAAAGCTTGGCAGGTTATAAATGTTAAATTAGCACAATTCTAGTGAATTGTTTTAAAATGAATACTGAGTCCCATGAACCACATCAGCTTAAATCTATCCTGGCTACATTCTTTAGAGAAAGGATTGAACCCAAAGTACTTCTTTTTTTCTTTTTTTCTTTTTCTTTTTCTTTTTCTATTTTGTTTTTGTTTTTGTTTTCATTTCCTTCCTTCCTTCCTTCCTTCCTTCCTTCCTTCCTTCTTGATAAATCCTTTTTCTCCTTACTATTTTTTAGCCACTATTCATTAAAACCTTTGCCTATTGATTTGTTGGCTGGCCACTTGCTCTCATCTCAATTCATTTGGCTCTGAAATGTCATGGTGCTGCTGACTCTGACAGGCCACACAGCACAAATGAACCATATTCATTCACAAAGAGATTGATTTAGGAAGTGGTCAGTCCTGCTGGAATTCTTGTCCTCACCAGCTGTACACAGGCATTTAGCCTAAAAGCATCTAGAGCACAAGGAACAAAGATGATGTGGGAAGGCAGGCAACCCTGTCTCCCATAGCCCACCCCATCCAGTTGAATGCACCAAGATCTGCAGAACTTCTGGATGGGTGGTGGTGGTGGTGTTCATGTGTGTGCCCCCATCTCTGCCACCTAAACAGGACTTACGGTTTCAACTTTCTTTGCCCCAAGTAGGTAGTTTAGGAACAAGAAAGGAGCTATGAGCAAGAAAAGAAATGGCAAGGAACAAGATGGAACAATGTGGATGTTCGTCAGAGTATTTTGTGAAAATACTGCTATTTCCCCTCCTAAAAAGTGGTATTTAGAGATTTGGGTTGTAATCCTACACAAAGCTACTTAAACTACATTGCTTTTAATAATGGCAGTCCCACATGTGTGTCTGCATCTGTGTGTCTGGTCTTCATAAATGCTCACAGCAATTCGCTATTACTTATTAAATTTATAGTCCTTTTTTCCAAGGTGCTGAAAATAGTATACATTTTCCTCTCCTGATATTCTCACAACAACCCTTTAAAATAGATTCAGTTTGAGACGTGGTTAAGGTCACCCCATGAATTCCAGGCTTTGAAACTCAGATCTTTCTACTTCTAGTCTCACATTCTAATCACTAGACCACCCAGCTAGGTAAGGTTGGGTGAATATTAACCCCACATAAAACAGCTGCAAAAAGCACTATACATAAGACCTTGTCCAAAATCAGTCAGTTAGAGTTTTGAACTAGTGATATCCTGGCCCACAGAGTTTGCTTTTAAACTTGGAGCTGGGAATCTCCCCAGAATTCCCCTGTTTTAAACATGACGCTGTACATGTGCTGGCTTGTCAGAGCAAGAATATTAATTAGGAAGTCCTGATCCTTCTGTCCCACCACAATCATTTTCTAGAAGGGGATTTTGCAAATAATAATGGCTGGAAAAGACCCATCTGAAAGGGAGCTTTAGAATACATTCATCACATGTACACCTATAACAAGGGAACAATCATTAATGGTATGAAACTGTTATGGTGTTGGCAAACCTTTTCCCACAATAATAATCATTATACCTCCAGTATGTCTGAGAGAAATGCAGCTGTGCTAGGCAACAGTTTATGCATATTCGTTCCCCATGATTTTCCTTGCTTGGCTCATTACAGGGTGAGCCTGGGAATCAAGTTACTCATTATAAACACAGGCCCTACAAAGCGAATCTGTAAACTGCTGAATCCTCCCAAAATATATTTGACATATGTAGGGCACTGATGCTAAATTATATTCAGAGTATTACCATGTTTCCCCGAAAATAAGACAGGGTCTTATATTAATTTTTGCTCCAAAAATGCATTAGGGCTTATTTTCAGGGGATGTTTTATTTTTTTTCCATGCACAACTATCTTCATTTATTCAAATACAGTCATGTCATCTTCTTCTTTTTGCTGCACAACGGTGGAGGGCGCGGTTTCACTTAACTGGGGCTTATTTTTGGGGTAGGGCTTATATTGTACAAGCATCCTAAAAAATCCTACTAGGACTTTTTTTCAGTTTAGGTCTTATTTTTGGGGAAACAGGGTGCTTGTGTGAGAAAGAAGATTTTCCTGTGCACAGCCCAATCTCTCTCACCTTGACAATACAGAGTCTGATATACAGCCATTGTATTTATTTTGGGATGTATTCAAGCTTCTTAACACAGTACACTGAAATTAATTTTTGATTTAAAATATTCAGATCTGAGTGAAAATTTCAGCTTCCTCCAGATTACATTCAGTTGAATTCTGTTGTGAGGTTGAATGCTATGTCCTGCTTCCAGTCCATGACTTTGATCCCTTAAAGAGAGGGAGTTTGTAACGTGGAGCCATAAAACAAACGCATTTCCTTGCTGCAAGAAGTAACATATTCCTAGTCTCTCTCAGCTTGAAGAGTAAAAAAATTTCAGCACTTGAGAGCACGCACAGCGCGGCCGTCGAGGGAATGGATGAGGGATCTTGGACCCTTGAGATGCTCTGGATGACAATATCCAGAATCCCATTAGCACTGGCCAGATGGATTTGCTGGAAGTCTACATCTCAAACACCTGGAGGCCCAAATGTTCCATACCTCTGATCTCCTGGGGTATCTAACTATGGAATGTAGGTCAAGCTTGTTCTATACGGAAAGCTACTCTGATCTTTATCAGGAACTCAGAAGCAATGGGTATCTCTTTGATAGGTACTGAAATGATCTCACTGTACTTTAGAAAATTCTGATGTTTTCTGAAAGAACAAGGGTTTTCTTTCTTGCAGTCAGCACATTGTGTGAATTACTGGGATGGGCTGCTGGCATAATCTCAACCACTATCAACTCCTCAACAATTATTCTAGTAATTTGAAGGATGTAATGGGACTGAAATTCATCTACTCCTTGTAAGTACTAAATGTAATTATATCAGGACAGTGCTGATGAGATGAACAAAAGCTAGTTAAATTCTAATCTAGAATCAAGGTATATATTACAATAAAGTCTGCCCAAATTGCTTTATGTATCAATCTAAAAATACTGGTCTACTGAAGCTAGTGACTACAGATCATTAGGATTGGAGAAACTATCTTGGTTGTCTCAGATACTTGTTTACATGGCAGTCCTCATATATTTCATTTCCTGTAACTATTTTTGAAATAGAATACTAAATTAGCCTTTTGCACTGCTATGCCCCAGAGATTTGCCTTTCCAACTTGGGTGGGGATGATGGGACTTGCAGTGCAACACACCTGGAGGACACCAGGTTGTGGAAGCCTCTACTATATAATATTTCTCTCTGACAGCTGAGCTTGCAAGAATTCTTTCGTGATAGATATGCTTTACTGCAGAACAATTTTCTTCAGTAGAAAATCTCAGTAAAATTCACAGTGAGTTGCAATGCTTTATAGCCTCCAGACAAATAAATAGTTTGATATTTCTGACATGCAGAAATGTTGTATAGATCAATGTTTGATGCTGGTTTCAAAAAGATGCAATATTTCCCAATCAGGGTTTCCCATGTTTCCCGGACTGCGGCCAAAGCAGCACTGCTCATGCATATCTGGCCACTTGGGGGTTATCTGAGGTCTGCAAGTTCTCAAAATCTCTTTGGGGAGAAAATGGGAGGAACCTCCAAACAGCCCAGTAAGGAGTAACTGGCACCATTTTCTTTTGTCTGTTTGAGTGGTGGTGGAGGACGTGAAGTGGTGTAGAGTGGCTGGAAAGAAAGGAAGAAATGCATCAATATAAAAAAGGATAAAATGAGATCATTTTATCTGGAGAGGCTATTTCCTAATTCACAATGACAAAGAGGGATGGAGAAACTTTCAGTGTTCACAGGGATGGAAATGAGAACGGCCCACAGACATCAGTGAGGAAATGCAAGACTGTACCCTTAAAAGTGTTCTCCCATTCTGCTACCCAATCACACACACACATGTGCATGCGTGCGCGCACACACACGAAGATGCACAACCCGAAATGGTGCAACAGGGATGAAACATGGCCAGTGGGGATGGAATACTGTGCAAGAGGGCATGAAGGAACAGGAATACAAATAGGCTGAATAGGCCAGCATGCTGAAAAGAAGCACTGCATTCTGCAGCATTTGGTTGCAGATTGGTTCTGATTGGTTCTTTCTCTCTCTCTTTTTTTTTAAGGGCACCCTGTCATAATGCCCTTGGTAGGGATTTAAATGCAATTTATCAGAAACGTGTTGAAAACAAAGTGAAGACATACAGTATGTAGATATCCTAGAGTTTAGAAGTGTTGTTTTTCTAATTACAGCTTCCAAAATTCCCGGGTCAGCTGGATTAGCTGAAGGATTCTGGGAGTCATAGTCCAAAAACAAAACAAAGAAATGTTTCCAAGACCTGAGGTGTCCCTAAGGTAGAAAAACAGAAATTACAGAACAGCCACAAATACTGACAAGAATAAAACCATCCCCCAACAAAAATACACATAGAACAGATAACGGCAACTGTCCTCTGAATGGCTCTGTCACCACAGCCATTTTGCACTGGGAGACACCTCAGCTGAAGCATTATTTACCCAAATCCCTTGGCCCTTTAACCTCAAACATGAAGTCGAAGGGTCACAGAAATTGAGTCACCTTGTGCCATAGCTGTGGTGGCAGGTGCCAACCTACACCCAACAGCGTGTATGAGATTTCTGGTTAGTGGAGGAAATGGTTTCTGAAGAGGGATTGTAAGGGGAAAGGGTGAAGATTCAATAAACAGAAAGAAGTCAGGGTTGGGCCTGTGGCTTCAAGACAATCCCACATATGTAGAATGAAGCCAGGATGAACCCTCTTTCTGCCCTGTGGGAGAGAACAGCTCTGCAGCAACCAAGGAAGTGTTCTTTCAAACATCCCTTTCCATCATATTTGAGAAGGAGGGATTGGAGGTAGGCCATGCGTCAGGCCTTTATGATCTGTTGCTTGTTTCTGTAATATCTCTTGCTGGATGCCAACCTCCACCTTGCCAAACGGGAACATTTGGGCAAAGACTCAACTCCCCTCAGATTTATGTGGCCAAAGACTGGTTTTGTGGCAGAAATGGACAACCACCAAGTTTAAAGCTCATTGCCCGTTTGTGGGTAGGGTGAGAGACATTGATTCCTAGCTCTTCTGCCATCTCACTAACGTCTTCCAGCATCCTATAAATCTCCCTGCATCCATAATACACCTGCTTTGCTTTCTGCTTCAAGGGTTCAGAATCTGTTTTGTCAGCTCTTAGAGCGCTCCATCTTGACCACCCTGAGACTTCTTCTGATGCCTTTCCTGTGCGTCTGCCTACTTATGGGAGCAATTCACACGGCTAGGCCTTTTTTGTGACAGTCTGAAGAAAGGCCAGGCAACCCCTGGGTGGGGAGGGAGAAGATCTTAGTGTATCCCTGGCAGATGAGGAATAAAAAGGCAGCATCACCACAAGGCACCTCAGACCCACCGCCAGAGAGAACCAACAAGGACGGGAAATAAGTCGCTTCTGCCCTGGGAGGGACAGAAGGAGACGTCCTGGAGGAAGAGGACTGGGGGGAACCCTCTGGAGGATTTCTCGCGAGTCTGCTGGGTTGAGGACTTCCTTGAGGAGGACTCTGAATCACCTGGGGAGGGGGGCTAATTTATAAAGGGGTTCCCTGATGAGGGGTGCTTGTCCATCTAAGAGTCCCAAAGGGAGAAATATGAAAAGAAACATGGCACCCCTACAACCCCTCCGCCATTAGGGGGGGAGGAGGAGAGAAAGAGAAGGACCAGGAAAGGCCAATGGCTTGAGCTGAAACCCAGAGAGGCCCCCACAGCTCAGCTCCAGTGCTGGTGGAGGAAACAGCGGGAGAAGTAGGCCAGGGCACAGACCAGTCGGGAGTCCCAGAGACGACCCGGAAGGGCTTCCAAATGTACCTGCCTTCCCTCACTATGGGCATATCACCCCTTGTTGTTGAGGGCAGCAAGATAGCCAAGTACATTTGGATGAGGAGATCTGGCTTCACAACCCACCTCAAACCCAGTGAACAAATCTGGGTCTGGGAAGGACAAATCCAGTCCCTCTGTGAAGGGAACCGAGGGACAAAAGAGACCATTTTTTAAAACCCCAGTGGGCAAAAAGACTCTAAGCTGGTGTTTGTTAACCCCCTCCCCTGTCATGCTAAAGGCTGTTCTCGTGTCCAGAGTTTATGGACCACAGGATGGAAGAAATTAACCCTGCCGAGATGGCTCACATCATATCTTATTCTTCTAAGGTGGCCATCAAGTGTCCTCTTTTAGTTTATCGAACTCACCCCGTATGTTGCGCTCTGTCTCGTTTAATCTTTTTCAAAACCTTTGTCCAGGAGAATCTGGGATTCCAGATGCTGCAAAATTTTGTTTGGTTGTTATTTTTTTCCCTCCCTCCTGAGATGAAAGGGAGTGGAAGGCCAGTCAAGCAGCAGCTGGCTGAGCTGCATTTCTAATAGGCAGTAATGGAAGAGGCTGTGGGGAGAAGAACAGTCCCTTCAGACCAGCCATGTCTCTCAGTAGAAAGCCAAAAAACAGGATGTTGTTGTAGCTGCCCTTTAACCAACATTCTCTCTCTGTCACTGTCCTGGGACGAAGCAGATGGTGCTTCCTTTTTTGCTGGCACAGTTCTTTGTTGGTCTTGAGGGTGGAGGGGGTAAGGGGTAGTAAAGTCACCACTGGCCATGACTGTTGCAATGAAATCCAGAGCTGCATTCACTCTGCAGAAGCATTCAGTGGAACTCAACCCAGGTCAATTGTCACCCATTCTCTAGCCATTGTCTCACTCATTTCGTTGCCCCCCCCGACTCCCTAGAGAACCAGGCAGTGTGCTTAGGTCTGGTTTGGAGGATAGCATACCATCCAAGCCATCATCTCACTCCAGTGCTTAACATAACAGGGAAATTCCCCAGAGATCAGAGAAACCCACCTGGAACCCTCAGCCTCCTTTGGGTTTAACCAGCCCCATGCCCTCCAGATGTCCAGCATTTCATTAATATGTATTTAAAATATTTTTACTCTGCCTTTCTCCTTAAAAAGGAACCAATGTGGCTTGCATAATTAAAAGATAATATTTAAATCTAAGAACAGTGAGTAAAAAGAGGCAGCTTATAACATTAAAAGGCAATAGGAAAGCTAAAACTATACGTATGCAAATACTAAAAAGCAACGAACAATACCTCTCTGAGAGATGGTAAATGCAAATCCTGTAATACTAAAGACCCAGCCAGAGTAGCAGCGCATAACAATCCATCTAAAAGGTACTCATGTAGCCATGTGGTCAGTCACTCATGTCGGTAGCCACTGAGGAAAAGCTTGCCTGAAGAGAAGTACTACAGACCCAGCCAGAATAGCAGTGCATAACAATCCATCTAAAAGGCCTGGCCTCTAGTGGGAGGGAGTTCCAGAGTCTGGGAGCAGTCACAGAGGAGGCTCTCTTCTGTATCCCCACCAGACGCACCTGTGAACGTGGTGGGATTGCAAAAAAGGCCTCTCCTCATGATCTTAACACCTGAGCTGACTCATAGTGGGAGACATGGTTTTTTTGATAGCTTGGACTCAGGCCATTTATGGCTTCATAGGTTAAAACACTGGTTCTTAACCTTGAGTTACTCAGGAGTTTTGGACTGCAACTCCCAGAAGCCTTCACCACTAGCTGTCCTGACTGGGGTTTCTGGGAGTTGCAGTTCAAAAGCATCTGAGTAACAAAGGTTAAGAACCACTGGGTTAAAATCAGCACTTTGAATTGTGCTCAGAAACTGATTAGCAGCCAGCGGAGCTGCTGTAACAAGGGGGGTGGGTTGTTATGTGATTCCTGTAACCAGCCCCAGTCAACTGTCTGCTAAAGGCTAAACCACATCATGCACTAATGTGTCCATGACTGCAGGAAGCCCAACCACAGTTTGGAAAAATTACTTTTTTAGACTACAGTCACCCTGATAGAATCCTGCCACTTGTAGTCCAAAAAAAGAGTAACTTTCTAAAGCTCTGTTCCCATAGAATAACAGGACTAGAATGTGATGTGTCAAAAGAACGGGACAAATCTGTGGTTGCATGGAGGATAGCTCTTCCTGGTAGAGTGTCCTCAGTGCGTGCATTTTGACATCTATTGTTAGGGCTCCTCCAGCTTTTATCCACATTGATGGGTCAGCCACTCCCCAAGTTTTAATTCAGCCTTAAACATTCCAAAGCTGCATTTCCACTATGTGCTTGGAGTAAGTGGGTAGCAGAGAGAGTTTGGTGAAAAAAAATTCTTCCTTTTCTGACATTGATCTGTTTATATTCTAATTATGCAAATAAGTTAGTTTGTGTTACTTGCTTAAAATGAGTTTTAAAAAATATATATATCTATAATAATCACAATGCAAAACTCAATTAACTTTATAATTTAATGGCAGCATTTCCTGATGATCATTTGCTTATTTCAAATCTACCAAACCTGACACAGGTGAGACAGCTCCTCTTTCCTATCAGGTTACCATAATTATGGTCTACAGCCATTTCTGAATTAGTTCCAGCTAGTTAGCCTCACAGCAAGACAATTGAGACTGCCATCACTGGAGAATTCAACACAGTCTGATGATGGATTCATATAAAACACAAAATCCATTATTTATACACAGTAGGAAAATAAACCATCTGACTGGGCTGGCATATGAAGTATGCAAAGGCATTTCATTTTTGACGGTTGGAAATTTTAAACTCAAGCAGCTTTTAATCAACATCCCATTGCAAAACAAAGTTTAGCATTTTTATTTCTTATTCACTGCCAGTGCAATGTAACTAAAGACAGAAGCTACAAACGCTTTATGGCCTATTACTCAACATGTGCTTATAATAAATTAGGTATAAATGACAGCTACTTTGGACTTGCAGCATAACAAAGAGAAATGGGAAAGCCAAATTCTGTGGAAGGCTTGGAGTACTTATGTGGAAAGATTGTTTACATTCTGCAGCAACCCGAAAGAAGGGTTCACGTCTCCATCAAGCACTTAACCTCGGTTGGATTGTTCAGGAAGGACCTCCATTGATTCCAGAGCAGTGAAACTACCAACTTATGGGTAACAAGTTTATTTAGATCTCCTATGAACAGCCTTCTTCACCTAGCCTGTTATAAGACCATCACGACTAGCATGCTGTTTCTGACAATGGACAAACCAGTCCGGAGGAAGATGGTGTTTTGAGTACCACAGCTGGAGTTAGGGGGGACACATGGACTTCAATATCTCCTCAATTTTGCAAGGGTTTAGAAAGCTAAGCTGTGCTGACAGCATTTGAGATCCAAGGCAGAGCCTGAACATGGTACTTTTTTTGACAATCCCAC